ATTTTGGTTACTATTGTTTCAGGTATTTCAGGTATATGGCATGTATTTTCTTCTGTGTACATGGCTCCTGGGCTTTCTTGGGATGGGTTGGATGTTTGAGATTGCATTTTGGTCTTTCGTTTTGACATTTTCCTATATTACCGTGTTTCAAGTATTGTTCCAGAGTTTCCCCTGTTTGTGTTGTAAATTGACTCTTATGTCCTAGGCTCTTGGGACTCTTCTGGTAGTAGCTCCCTCCTTGGGCAGCAGAGCCCCTGGATTAAAAGAGGCTTACCAGGCTCTTCTCAGGTAGACCTAAAGCCTCCTCAATTTGCACAGTTTCCCCTTCTGATAGCAAAGCTCCCCTGAGGGATAGAAGGTCACCTGGTGTGGTCTAGACAATCCCAAATCCTGCTAAGCCCAGTCTAGTGTGGCTGCACCCCCAGTGGGCCCCCAACCCCCTAGAGCAAGGATCTCATATTCTCCCAGGGATTGGATGTTGTATAACAATCCAGCTCTTTGGGTGGCAAAACTCCCCAGGCTGATAGAAGATTCCCTTATGGCCTAACTAGGCCTCAAATCTCCTCAGCAGGGCTGCTCCTTCTTCCAGGCGGTGGCAGTAGTGCTGGTGCTCTCCAGATCAAAATAAGGTTACAGGCAAGGTCAGAGCAGGTTTCAGTGGCCAGGCCAGGCTCCCGCCTTCTGAGCAGCAGCTGTGGTGTGCTCCTTAGCCAGATGAGGCAGCAGGCGGGGCTGGACCAGAGTCTCTCTGCTGGGCTGGGCCCTCTCCTTCCAGCTAGCAGAGGTGGTGCACTTCCCGGGTGGTAGAGGCGGCAGGCTAGGCTTGTCTCATACATTCTTTACAACAATATTTATTGAGTCAAAGACAAGGGGAAAAGAAAAACAAAATTAAACAAAATTTCACCACGTCCCAAATTAAATTAATTTAAACTAATTGGTGCAATTTGGGAAGAATCTCATGAGTTACAGAGAGTATGGAACACAACTGAAAAATGTAATTTATAAAAATATAAATTATAAAAATGCAATATATATATGCATATATGTAATAAAGTCATTTTTAGAGAGGTTCAATACTAGGGAATTTCATGTGATTATTTAAAAATAATGGCCTGTCACTGGAAGCTTATATACGCATCAGTACTAAGAAAAACTAGACAAAAATTAAATATATATATATATATATATATGTATGTATATATATATATATATATATATAGATAAATAGATAGATAGATACTGATTTTGTTAACACACTGATGAAGGGAAATGTATATTTGAAGGTAACTATAAAAGTACAAAGAAAGATGCAAACGAACAGTAAACAAACTGATAATAGTAATCTGTATGTAGAAAAGATAATCACATTTATTTTATTTTTTTTAAATTTTTTTTATTTAAAGTGAAAAAAGAGAAAAAAACACAGCAGTAAAAGGGTACAAGTGGTACAGAATTTCAAGAAAAAAATATACAGTAGGAAATCACTAGTTAATAGGTTACATATTGTCATCTTAGAAACAGTTGTCCAAATTACAAAATTAGAGCATACAAAGTGGACATTCATACAGTGAGATTGCAGACAGTTTCGTTCAATGATCCAACAAAAACTCAGTAATATGTTTTTCTATCCTATACACTTAAATATACATGCAGTTATATCCTTTAGACCACTTTCTTTTCCTCTCTTTTTTACATTAACAATTACACTTTTTGGGTTTTATTACTCCCACAGTTCTTATTACTTTTTTTTGAAGGGAATAAGACCAAATATGACAAAACAAAACAGAGTCAGAACAGAAGGATGGACATAGTATTTGATACAAAAATACAATACCAAGTTATCAAAAATGATTACCATTATGCCTCTTGCTATCTTGAAAAGAGTTGCCTATATCATCAGGTATAACAGAATTGAACAAAACAGTACAGAACAAGACCAATAAAACCTACACTGGAGACCTTACAGGACTTCAAAAGAAGATAATAGTCAAGCCATAATGGGCATCATAATAAATCTTATTGCCTTCAAAGTGGTTGCCTATACCCTCAAACTTGATGCTATCAAACAAAACAATATATTTGACAGAACAAGACAGGGAGAGCAATACTGGGGTTCAAATCAGGTTAATAGGAAAACAAAAAAGTTACTGTAATGTATCTCACTATTTTTTAATGTAGTTTTCCCTTAATTAATAAATAAGAAAAATAAATTAATTTTAAAAAACTGGGACACTGAGATAAAAGAGGACATAATAACAGAACAGCACATGTCAGAACCGAACAATTTAAGCATCACTGTGTTTAACCACCAGATAACCTGACATAATAGTAGTCACCATAGTGTATCTTTCCTTGAATTATTTGAATATAACTTCATATACTATAGCTTCAAACTATTTGGCAAATAAATTAATGTCAAACTATTTGGCAAATAATGACAAACCATGAGAAAAAAATTTGAAGGCAAAAGTGAATAAAACTACAGTTTTTAAAAATTATGGATACACAATCTATCAAATTTAAAAATATTTACAGAAAATAAGACTTATCTAAAGTGACATAATTAGATAAAACCTGAATCAACTAATGAGTGTGTAAGAAACTATAAAATATTTTAACATTCTAAAAATGTTTTCATAAAGATGAAACATTGTTTTTCTATTATGATGAATTCCATTCTAAATAAACTGTTTAGTGTTAAGGAAAATGAATGGAAACCCAAGTTACTTGTTTTTGAATAGAGCACAGTTAGGCTCTCAATAACTAACAAAGATAATGAACTCGCATGAAGTCATGTGCATATATGTATAACTACATAAATCATTTTTTCACAATAATATACTCTCAATTAATTTCAAATGAAAATACTTGATTTTATGAAACCAAATTCATTCATTAAGTGGCATCTCCTGAGAAAATAATAGGACTATCTCAGGAATGAATGGATAACTTAATTTTAAGATTCTATAAATATTATATAAGGACATTTCTATATCATGAAAAGTAGTATCTTGAACTAACAACAATCAACTTTTTAAAGGGAGTGGGAAGCAATGAGCAAAGTGTCCCAATGTAGTCCTGGGGTCTCCCTTCCACTTGTTAGAAAACAAATTGGTTGAGACCTAGTTTCCTCTTCCTGTTGAGGAGAAGCTATCCTTTTGCTGTTTCTCCAAGAATGAAAGATTTCCTCTTACTGAGAGGTGGAACTGTACACTTGTATTGTATCTCAGCATTTGCAACGTAAGGTAGCTAGCTTTACAACCTGATCCGTTGGTATCAACAACATTCTGCTCTCACATTAATGAGTTTGTTCTCCTACTGGTTCCTCTTTAAGAAGGAAGAGCAAAAAATAGGTAGCTGTCCCTCTAGTTTTTGCCTTGTCATAGCTCCTTGTAGACAGGTAGAAAAATCAGCATATTCCTGTCTTTTATATTTTACCCTAATCTCTCGTGTGGAGCATGACAAATGTCTAAAATTCTGCATGCTACAATCTGAAACGAGAATGTAAAGAACATACTGTAATATGCTCTTCCTAATGTAAAAATCAAAGAAGAGGTGCCTGGGGGTGTGGACACATTAGTGACATCCTCTGAGAAGTAGATTTACATGTGCAAGAGGTTTAGTGGAGCAAATGCCTACAAAGGAAAATAATTGGGGAAAAAAACCCTAAGGGTCTGGTTGGGTCATCACATTGTGATGCAAAACTAATCCTGGTGATGGAGAGAAAGGAAGATACCTTTGGGTAAGAAATGTCTTGTTCCGTGGTGTGTTGTAAGGTTTCAGCTAAGCTGATGCAAAGTCTTTGATCCAAATGCCCTGTGTTTCTCACAACATGTTCATTATAGTATCCCAGGCAAGCCCATGGTAAGTGTGATTTTCATACCAATGCCATGATGGATTTCAGAGGGCAGTGGCTGGGGACCTCTGTCAATTACTTTTCCTGCAGACAGAGATCTGAAAGTCTCATTCTTATGAATACCACCATATAGTTTTCAGACAAGAGAAAACTATGAAAATTTGCAGATAATATAAAGATATGCTTGGAAACATCAAGAAGATCAACCGCAAAACATTTATTATTTAAGAGACGGTTTAAAACTCATCTACAGGCCCGGTGATGTTCAGGAATAAAAGATGAACTTGTTTTGTAGGTGAGAAAAATCACTATTGGTATAGGATGTGTTGCAACAAGGACTTTATCCAGAGTTACATATTTTCAGGAATAAGGATAATAAACCAATCAGCACATACAAACCTACAAATTCTTTCATTTCAATTGTTCAGCTTTCATTTGCTAATTTTTAAAAAACAGAAGAAATGTAATTTAATAGATTATCTCATAGCAGCATTGTTATGGCAAAATACAAAAAACGGCTATATATAAACCTAAAAAATAAGGATGTAAATTAATGTGCCTACACATACACACTGAAATAGTTATTTAATAAATCAGCCGCTTCAAAGAATATGTGCTGAAATGGTAAGATTTTCAAAATAAGTGAAATTTAGCAGTATATAAATTTTCTGAAATACGGTTCTGATTCACATACATGCACACATACATAAAAGTAAATGCAAAATAATAATTGTAAATATTCATGCATAATTATTGTGGGCTAACTTAGGAATAGTTTAATGTTTTATCATTTGTGCTTTATAGTTCTTTTTGAATTTCCCATTACACATGAAGCACAAAGTCAGAAAATAATTTTGTAAAATAAATTTAAAATGCCCAGCCAGGAGTGGTGGCTGGATGCTTGACTATAATACCAGCACTTGGGAGGCTGAGGCAAGAGGATCATCAAAAGTTTGAGGGCAGCTTGGGCTACATAAAGGAGTTCAAGGTCAGCCTGTACTAGATAGCAAGACCTTGTCGCAAAAAAAATTTTTTTTAACATGGCCAACTACTAAAATGTGATCATAATTGTTTTTTGTCATATATTTCTGATTTTCCTGTCGATGTCCGCTCCCGGCCGGCAGGAAAGACACACGACAAGGTCTGGCGGTGGTCAGGCTTTTCTTTATTCTCTCCTTATACAGTCTGCCCCGAAGCCTCTACCGGTCCGCTCTCCGCGGCTCCTTCCGTGCTTCAGTCTGCCCCGAAGCCTCTACCGGTCCGCTCCCCGCGGCTCCTTGCGTGCTTCAGTCTCTCTCTCTCTCGGGGGTGGAGGCACTGGCTATATATAGGATTAATAGCTAGGCAGACTACCCTGTGAGGCGGGAACTTAGTGGGGTGATAAGAAACAGGTGCCACACAGGCGGGCTCGATGAGAGGGGCAATCTAGCCCAGGCTTTTGTACTTTCCCACAGGCCTCGCAATCACCGCGTCTGATGACTTGACAGTGCCACGGCTCCCAACATCTCCCCCTATTTTATTTTAAATGATGGCTACGCGCATCGCAGCCCGTCCTGGATAGAGTGCAGAGGCCTATGCCCCGAACTGAGGCCCACCGTAGGCCCTTAGCGTAGACCCTGGTCGGCCGTCCCAGGGTCCACCAAGGCCCTGAGGCCCTCGTCCTTTTTTCTAGGGCCAGGAATGAACCGGACGGAACCTGGTTGCACATAGGCATGCACTCATTTCTCTCCACGAATCCCCTCGGAGAGAAATTTATCTAACAATCCAGCGGCTTTCGAGCGGAACGGGGTAGGGCCTGGCTTAGGTTGAGTCGTGCTGGGGAGGCACGCTCTTACCCGTCATTGACTCACCCACCCTGCTACATGTTGTTGTCTAGGGAGGAGAATGTGGGAAGCCTGTCACTTTTAAACGCGGTCGTAGGCCATGCGAGCGAGCCATGCGTATACAAGGGTAGCACATAGGGGAGCAAGCCGTTCCAGGCCCCCAAAAAGGGATTGTCCTGCAGTTCTTTTAGGGCTCATCTTGTTGTTGGGTCTGCTTTTGGCCTCTGGTGGAACAGGCCTGATCTTCAGTCGAGGGACTTGTCGCGTCAACCTCTCTGGGACCCACATTGGCTCTCGTCCCGATTCCTGCGGAAAGACACAAACCGCGCCTCGGCTTCCTCTTTTGTATCTCTGCCCTCCTTGACGGACCCTTCTCGGGAGCTTCCTCACTGTGCCTGTTCAAACACCTCGCGTACTTCTACAAGTTCTTGAGAGCTCCCCCCGTAACTACCCTCACTCTTTAGGCACGTGTGTATCATTTCCCACAATGGACGAGCAGAGACTGAAGCTCTACCCTCCCGCTCTGCTAGGGAAAGGTCTCTGCCCAACTTTTCCCAGGAGGGCAGGTTTACATGCCCTGTAGGCAGAAACCAGGGAGCAAAGCTGTCAATCTCTGCAAGGAAATTTTCTAAAGTCTTACGCCCCACCTTGAGGTCCTTGGACTTTAGGAGTCTCCGAAGGACCAACACCAAGGCTGTGTATCTTTACTTGGCATGTTTCCCATTTTTAATATATCTTCTGTTATTTTTACTTCTATGTTTATGTTTTACACTCTTTTATTACCTTAAGTTCTGGTGTTATGTTTCATACTCACCGCGTGAGGCCCAAGAAACCCGCCACTTACGCGTGAGGTTGAGAGGAGTCTACAAACCCTGTAGGTGCGCGCCACCCAGGGCCCAGGCTTATCCTCTACTCACCTGTCCTGCAGCTGCAGCACTGTGTAGGAGAATGCAGTCCACCGCCGCGTCTCGGGGTTGATCAATCCCCGTGCGGGCCTCCAAATGTCGATGTCCGCTCCCGGCCGGCAGGAAAGACACACGACAAGGTCTGGCGGTGGTCAGGCTTTTCTTTATTCTCTCCTTATACAGTCTGCCCCGAAGCCTCCTCTGGTCCGCTCTCCGCGGCTCCTTTTGTGCTTCAGTCTCCCCCGAAGCCTCTACCGGTCCGCTCCCCGCGGCTCCTTTTGTGCTTCAGTCTCCCCCGAAGCCTCTACCGGTCCGCTCCCCGCGGCTCCTTTTGTGTTTCAGTCTCTCTCTCTCTCGGGGGTGGAGGCACTGGCTATATATAGGATTAATAGCTAGGCAGACTACCCTGTGAGGCGGGAACTTAGTGGGGTGATAAGAAACAGGTGCCACACAGGCGGGCTCGATGAGAGGGGTAATCTAGCCCAGGCTTTTGTACTTTCCCACAGGCCTCGCAATCACCGCGTCTGATGACTTGACAGTGCCACGGCTCCCAACATTTTCCCTTCCAAGCATATGGTAGGAATGTATTTCCTAGTGGCCTTATGCTTACATGAGGCTATACAACAGTTAGTTTTAACAGTTTTAACAGTTAGTTAAAAGCAAAAACGTGATGTGGTGCATCTAACATGGGACATTAATTGCTGATGTAGATATTCTCTTTTCTCTCTTCCATGATGCCCAGAAGTGCTGAAAGTTGGCTGCTTAATCTGATGGTGCCTGAAAAGGCACCATCAAGATCAAAACCCTTCTGACAACCTGTGATTGATGTGTACGGAGTGCAAAATGAACTTGTGTTCCTTTCAGGACTGGCATATGCAAATTGTAGTTTCTGTAACATAATGTAGCCTTTTATGATTGATGCAAAACTGGTAACAGAAAAGGGACTGCTAGAACAAAACCGCAAATCTGAAAAAGTAGTTTCAAAACTAGATGTCATAAAGGGACTACTGGTACCGGAGTCAAAGAAGAATGGAAGGAGGGAGAGAGAAAGACAGAGATAAAGAGAGTGACAGAGAGACAAAGGATCTCAAAAGTAACTGTAAAAAACTTCATGGCAAATGTGCAAAATATTAATGACCTTAGTGTAATCATGTGAAATCATGTAACAAAATCTTAAGTTAAGACACATTTTACCAAATGTCAAATCAACACTTGAAAAAGGTGAAGGTTGTGAAATATGTAGAAAGAACAAAATACTGTCACTGATTAGAGGAGGCTGAAGAGATATAAGAAATAATACGATGTTTGACCCTGGAAGAAAAGAAACATTTATGGAAATCTTGTTGGCACTGAATTTGTTCTATTATCTGGTTACTATTAATAATTACCTTGATTCTACTATTGTTATATAAGATATCAATATTAGTGGAATCTGGATGAAAGGAAGAACTTCATACTATTTTAAAATCTCTTTTGTAAATTTAAATTATTTGTATATACATGTGTACATTCATTTGCCCATGGAACAAAGGAGAATAGAATGCAAAGAGACTAAAACTTATAAAACTGCGTTGCAATTCTTTGAGGCATAAAGTAGTATTTAGACTTCTAAGCACTTATGTTTTTGGGTTAAATTTGGTAACATACATAAAATTTCTTATTAAGAAGTATGATTAACCCATAATATGTAAGAGAAACCAAACTAATGTTAATTGCTAAATATCATACATCATTTTAAGTTTGTTATTTCATTTCATAGTGAGTACATGACTTTTCACCTTTGTAAGTTAGCATACAATATTGGTAGAATTGAAAAAAGTAGGTCATTTACCATGTCCAGATGGACAAAGAAATTTAGTTTTTCGAAAAGCAGGCCAATTGCACCATAGTTAAGATATCTGCGTACTTAATTACTGCTATATTATAAAATAAACTTTGAATTTCTCCTAGCACTACTGTTATGACAATGTATCACTATGTCATGGTTTGTCAACTGAGACAGTTGAAATTTTAATATATATTTCTTGTTGATTTTTCTATTCGTCCATTTTACATGTTCTGTAAATGAGAATGTCATGCAAAAATTAAATCATCACAATATTATTGTCTGATTGCTGAAAACTCTACTGCAACATAAGATGAGATATATAATTAATTCACTTTAATTCAGCTAGCTGTTACATTTTAACCACAACTTGTGTCACTTAGCTTGTCTTTTCTGTTTTCTTCTGTCCCATGTTTTTGAGAGAAAGACTTATTTGATCAGCAGGAAACATTCATGAATAACAAATGTTTAAAACCATGTAATCATGACTTTCAAATGGTATCCATCAGGCTTCTGCAGGGGACAGAGAATTTCAATCATAGGATATACTTTTGAGGTTGGTTAAGAAAATGATAACAACAGAATTTTAAAAATTGTATAACATGTGAAATTTCTGATCTGTGCATAAAATATTACCACATAGAAATACCTTCCATTTTATAATCAAAAGTTCTCCAGAAAAAATGTCGTGACGTTATTAACTTTTAAAATATTAAGAAGCATAAATGTCTGCCTGGCAAGCGCAAGGTCATGAATTTGATTTCTGGTACCTAAATAAATAAATAAATAAATAGTAAGAAAAAGTAGCAAAGAAAAATAAAAAAATATTCAATACTGATGACATACAAATAAATGACATGGCAAGCATGTAGTGTATTCTATAGAATATGAATGTTAAGTTCATGACAATAAATTTTAAAGATTTATAAAACTTTCCCATTAATTATGGCATTGTCAAGATACTCAGATGTATGAGGCATACAGGACCCAAGCCACCTACAACCCAAACAGAGCTACACCCAGGCATATAATAATCAAAATTCCAGAAATCCAATATAAGAACAGAATATTAAAAGCCATCAGAGACAAGAAACAGATCACTTACAAGGGAACACCCATCAGAATTACAGCAGACTTCTTGGCACAAACCATCAAATCCCAAAGAGCGTGGGGGGAAATAATTCAAGCTTTGAAAGATAATAACCTCTAGCCAAGATTGATATATCCTGCACAACCATTCCTAGAAATTGATGGAAAAACAAGGTGCTTCCAGGATAAAGATGAACTAGGGGAATTTGCAACCACCAATTCAACTCTACAGAGAATACTGCAGGATATTCTAAAAAAGACAAATATCAAGATTCCAGAAGCAGTGGCAGAGAGGCCACAAGGAATGGAGCAGAAAGCAAAATGAAGAAGACAAACTGACAACTAACGACAGAAAAAGAGTTCAACAGAAATGAGGCAGAGAATGTTGGATGGTAGGAACAGCTATTTTGGAGAAAACAAGGAATCATAATAGCTAGTGCTGATTTAATATCATCTTGTTTTGAAGTCACATCAAGCTTTTATTCTTCTGTCTCCATCGGTCTTAACAGGTTATTTCTTATTGGATTTTATTATATGTGATAATATAAATAAAAAATTTTATAGACAAGGAGATGATACAGAACCCATTGTTCATTTTCTGATAGTTGGTTCTAAAAACCCTGTAATACTGTCATTCTCTTGAATGGTTTTACATTGTCTTGATATGTTTGGTGCTACAGTATACGAAGTTATACTCAAAGATTTCAAGGAAAGGGACACTACGGTAACTACTTTTATATCAGAATAACTTGTGGTGAAACCCTATTCTGCTTAAATGGTTATGTTTTGACCTGTGCTGTTTTGTTGTTGTGACCTCTTTTATCTCAATCTCCTTTTTTTAATTATTTACTTTTTTATTTTTATCTTTTTTGTCTTTTTCCTTTTTATTGGTACCAGGGATCAAACTCACAACTGCCTGCTTGCAAGGAAGGTGCTTATGCCACTGAGCTAAATCCCCAGCCCCATATTTTCATCTTTTTAAAAAATTTTTTTTGTCTTTTTATTTTTTATCGGTACCAGGGATCGAACTCATGACTGCCTGCTGTAAGGCAGGTGCTTATGCCACTGAGCTAAATCCCCAGCCCTTATTTTTATCTTTTTAATTAAGGGAAAATAAATTAAAAAATAGCAGGATATGCTATAGTAACCCACTTTGATTTCCTATAAACTTGATTTGAAACCCTGTATTGCTCTCACCATCTTGTTTTGACTGATTTTCCCCTATTCTGCTTTACTTGATAGTACCAAGTTCCAAAGTATAGGTAACAACTGTGAAGACAATAAGATTCATTATGACGCCCATTCTGGTTGACAATTATCTTCTTTGGAAGTCCTGTAATGTCTCCAATGTTTTGGTTTTATTCTTTACTGTTTTGTTCAATTTTATTATAACTGATGATATAGGCAATTCTTTTTAAGATATCAAGAGGCAGTATGGTAACCATTGTTGATCACCTTGTATTTTGTTTTTACATTATCTATTATGTCCATCCTTTTGATTTGACTGATTCTGTTGTGTTATGTCACATTTGGTTATACTCTCTTCAAAAAAAAGTAATAATAACTGTGGGAGTAATAAAGCCCAAAATGTGTAATTGTCATTGTACAAAAGAGAGGAAAAGAAAGTGCTCTAAACGATATAACTGCATGCATATTTAAGTGTATAAGATAGATAACCACATTACTGAATTTTGTTGGATCATTGAACAGAACTGTTTGCAGTCTCACTGTTTGAATGTCCACTTTATATGCTTTAATTTTGTAAGTTGAACAACTATTTCTAAGATAACAATATGTGATCTAATAACTAGTGATTTCCTACTGTTTTTTTATGAAATTCTGTCTAAGTTGTACACTTTTTCTGTCTTTTTCTCCTTAAATAAAATTTTTAAAAAATTAAAATAAAAAATATGGCATTGTAATGCCATTTCATTTACTTCTTTCTAAATCATGCAGAATATAGCTTATTACTACTTTCGGTATAGTAGATATGCAAATAGCACTTACTCAATTGATTTAATGGAATTTTTTGTTTAAAATTTTGGTAAACAAAGGAAATTTCTGTTTTTAATCTACTCATTTAACTAAATCATAGAATGTTCTATTAACAAAACATTTTCCTAGCAATGATATATTAAAGTAGTGAGTGGACTTTATCAGAGATTAAATACAAACACTTTCTTATTCTGCATAAGAAGAGTCTTAAAAAAACTAACATCATCTTTTCAAACCTTTCAGCTTTGCATGCAAATATTTAGGCACAACTTAGTTCCTGACAAGTTTCCTCTCAAAACAAAACTACATTTTCATTAACTATACTCCAAAGATTGTTTTCCATCAGGGATTTTGATTTTAACTTGATTAGTAGACCAGTGGCTTGGAATTATAATATTATCCATGAAGACCTTTTCAAGGGAAGTCAAACAAGAAATAACAATCTCTCTGATCTCTATTTCATCGTACTACTGGACACAGTACAGTGGACACAGTAGTTGCACGTTGCAATGAATCAGCACAAATTCTATATTTTGTGTGCGGGACAATGTGAAGTGCTGAGAAGTTTAGGTTGAGAAAGGGTATAATTTCTACCCTTGAGAAATTTGTGATATTTGCTTGAGGAGGCAGGAAACTAGAG